CGATATTCTGCCTCTGTACTAGACTTAGACACAACATTTTGTTTCTTTGCACTCCATGAAATAAGATTCTGGCCAATGAAAACACAATAGCCACTCGTAGACTTACGATCATCTGGATTGCCAGCCCAATCAAAATCGTAGAAGGCATTCAAGGCAGTAGAGGAAGGTGTATAATATAGACCATAGTTAACAGATCCTTTTAAATAACGAAGAACTCGTTTAACTGCACCCCAATGAGGCTCTCGTGGATTATGCATACATTGGCATAATTGATTAACTGCATTGCTGATATCGGGTCTTGTTAGAGTACAATACTGAAGTGCACCAACGACCTACCTATATTCAGTAGGATATGTCAATAGCTTACCATCATGAATTGAGAGTTTCGAACCAGAAACAGTAGGAGAGGCGAGGGGTCGAGCACCAACCATAAGAGTCTTCTCAAGTAAATCTGAAATATACTTTGACTGCCTTAGATGTAAACCATCATGATCACGAGCAGCTTGGATTCCAAGAAAATATGAGAGATTTCCAAGGTTTCGAACATGAAAAGAAGACTGCAAACCAGAGATAAAATTTTCAATTTCGAAATAGCTAGAACCTGTGACTGTAATGTCATCCACATATATTAGAATAAACAATTTAAAGATGTCTGTTTGTAGAGTAAATAGGTTGTAGTCAACTTCTGATTCTATAAAGCCAATATCGAGGAGATGTTGAGAAATTCTCCTAAACCAAACCCCAAGGGGCTTGTTTAAGTCCATACGATGATTTATACAATCTGCAAACAAAATCTGGTTTGGAATCATCAACAAATCTCTGTGGTTGTTTCATATATATTTCTTCATCTAAGAAACCATGCAAAAAGGCATTAGAAACATCCAGTTGTTTAATAGGCCAATTAAATGTTTCCACTAACGATAAAACCACTCGAATGGTGGAAGGCTTGATTACTGGAGAGAATGTCTCGTGGTAATCTATGCCATAACGTTGATCGAAGCCCTTGGCCACCAATCGGGCCTTATACCTATCAATGTTGCCATCAGGTGTTCTCTTGATCTTATAGACCCATATATTTCGTACAATATGATGGTTTGATGGTCGAGGACAAAGAGACCAAGTCCCATTAGCCATTAGTGATCAAATTCTTTGCCCATGATGCTCTCCGATTTGAATTTGAGACTGCTTTATTGTAGGAAGTAGGTTCCTTTTCATTAAAAACACTAGAAAATATTTTTTTAACGAATGGCAAGTGGTGTACAAAACTTTATTGTTAGGAAATTGTTTTGGCTTGGAATGACCAGTTTTTGAGCGTGTGAGCATATAAGGTATAGGTGCAGGGTTCAGACTATCCGATGGGTGTTGTATTTGGATGCTTTGCTGGACATTGCAAGGTAGAATATCTGAAGTTGAGGCTTCGACTATTGGTGAGTTAATAGGAGAGTGGTCTGTTGAGGTGGAGGGTCTTTGCGTAGGAGACATGTGAAGTTCATGAGGCAAAGTACCTAAGGTGTCACCTTCAATGTTTTGAGTTGAAATATTGGTATTGGACACTGCAGTAGAATGTTAGACAACAAGTTACTAGATAATACTGTGTCTGCCAAGTGTTTGAAGTTACCAGATGGTATAGCACTACTCGAAGCGAGTGAATCTTGATATTTATCTTTTGTTGGAAACATTGTTTCATCAAAGAGCACACTTCTAGAGATATAAGCCCGATTGGACTCTAAGTCCAAACAACGATATCCTTTTTTATTATTAGAATAACCGAGAAAGACATGATGTTTACTGCGATATGCGAGTTTATAAGGTTGATTAGGCCTAAGCAAAGTGTTAGGCAAATTGTTGTCAAACGACCTCCCCCGGGCTATGATGAAATACGTTGTCTAAATTCAGTCGACATTGCCCAAATGCCTGAAAGTACATCGCCACAACAATTTGGTAAACCAACCCTAAACCGCCCCAAACTTGGAAGGCTCCCGTATGATGATGGCCCACCTTATTTACAAAGGATAGTATGAGCAGCCAAAGACCCTTAATTCAGAGTAACTAGGAGCTTTATCATTTAAAACTTCAAGAGGACTGAGATTTTATAGAACTTTGGTGGGTAATCTATTGATTAAATAAACTGTTGTTTGGAAAGCATCAACCCAAAAATTTTGTTTAAGATGTGATTGCGCCAATAGCGTTAATCCAAGTTCTTGAATGTGACGATGTTTTCTCTCAGCTATTCCATTTTGCTGAGAGGTATGCGAACAAGTTAATCTATGATATATCCCTGATTTTGATAAGAATTCGCTAAATTGATTAGATAAATATTCTCCTCCATCATCGGTCTGAATTGTTTTATGGAGCAAGAGAATACATTTTTAGCATGTGCTTTAAATTTAAGAAAAGTAGCACACACTTTAGATTTATTATGCAAGGGATAAATCCATGAAAACCTTGAAAAATCGTCTACAAACAAAACATAATAACGACAACCACTAATAGATGTTATTGGGGATGTCCAAACGTCAGAATGTACTAAAACCAAAGAATTAGAGGATTGATGGGTGGAATCTGAAAAAGGCATTTGTTTGCTTTTGCCAAGGGGACAAGTTGAACAAAAAAAAGATTTATTTGCTGCTGCTGGTGAAAGAGAAATGCTATTGGAACGTAAAAGGGACTGAAAAACTGCCTGTGAAGGATGCCCAAGTCTATAATGCCACTGCTCAACAGAAGTCTTCTGTCCAATGGTGGCTACTAGACCATAAATTTTGTGAGGAAGACTTACGTTACCAACAATGGGATAAAGACCATTTCAACCTGTCCGTTGAGTAGAACTCGACCTGTCCGATTCTCCTTCACAGTAAAATCAAAACCCGTAAGTATAAAGTAACAATTGTTTTCTAAACAAAATTTATTTATGGAGAGAAGATTAGTAGAGGCATGTGGACAGTAAAGGATATTTGATAAACAAAATTTGGTGTAGCCTATTTGTAAGGAAGTGGATCTAGTGCTTTTAATTAACAAACACGTACCATTTCCTACAGTAACAGTTTTTCCTCCATGGAAAGGCATTTGTTGAGTGAGATTTGCACATCATAGGTTATATGAGCATTCGCTCTACTATCAGCACACCATACTTGATGTTCAAACTGAGCATTTGCTTCAGCCACCATCACTGCAAGTTCCGAGGGTGGGTGACGGCCTTGATATGCAAAATGGGACCTGTGATAGCAATCAATGGCAATATTACCTGTCTGACCACAGATTTGGCATAGAGGGCGTGAACTAGTAGGAGCCTGAGTTGAATTTTGACGCACAATAGGTTGTCCTAATGAATTGCCTTGCAGGGAAGTGTTTGGACGATTAGTAGAAACAGGTGGTTTCTTCTTTGGTGCAAAAGAGGGCTTTTTGTTGGCAACAAAGGCAAAAGTAGTGTTAGACACCATGAGCAGACGTTGAGTGTCCAGAAGTGCTTCATGGCTGAGTAATTCAGCACTAAAATCTTCAAAAGTAAAGATTTTATCCCCGAAGGCAAAGTTAAAAGAAGTTATAAAAGGATTGAAATTCTGATTGAGACCTCCAAGGATGAAGTAAATTAAATCCTGATCATCAATAGACTACCATGCTGCTCCAAGTTGGTCTATAATGGATTTAGCATTTTCCAGATATGCAGAACAGTTTTTGGAACCTTGTGTAATAGTCTGCAATTGACGGTTCATATGAGCAACACGAAAATGTGACTGGCTGGAAAATCGGGTATTAAAAGCAGTCCAAACTTGTTTAGATGTGTTTAAACCATACACTGATGCAACAAGATTTTGACTAATTGAGGATAAGATAATTCCAAGCAGAGCTTGATCTTTCTTATACCAGGTTGTATAAGAAGGATTAGGGAAATTATCAGCAAGGGTCTTCGCAGGAACGGGTTTAGAGCCTTCCACGAACCCTAGAAGATCATTACTATTAAGGAACGACAAAAATTGAGACTGCCAACCCAAGTAATTTGATCCATCAAGTTTGAAGGATACTGGTAGTAAGGTATAGGCAGGGGCGGACGCAGACAATTAAAGTTAGAGGGGCACAATCGAACTTATAAAAAAATTGGGAGAAATTTTACAATAGAAAATTTACATCCAAAAAAATCATACATTATGTAATTTTGTATCCAAAAATTTATATGAAATATGATTTTTTCGGATGTAAAACTTCGAAAATTTTTGATGTCATATCTCATATAAATTTCCTAATAAAATAATGCAAATTAAATTGAGAAATTTGTATTAAAAAAATAATAAATGTTAATGAAATAATAATTATTATTTTTTAAAAATGCGAGTTGGACGCCTCTTTTTAAGATGTACGTTTGACGCATCTTTAACTATTTTCGATATGCCTATAATGTAATCCTCGAAACGAGTTTTGAGATGATATAAGCGATTTGTATATTCGACTACAGTATGATCGTCGGAGAATTTTAAAGTTAGCATGTTATCAAAATTTTCAAAATGCTAATTTTAAACCGCCTATTTTGACAAGTAGTAATATTTGCTACGATTGGTCGATTCGTGCGCCGTTAACGACATAAGAAACTAGACTGTGAGCACTTCAAAATTGTATTAAGAATGCAATATTTTGAATTCGTTTCACATCTTATAATGATTTAGAAATTGAAACAAAACATTAAAAAAAAAAAAAGCAAAGTTGGTGGGAGTTGGGGTGGGTAGAGATGGAGAGGATTGTTGGTATTGACACCATTGAATGAACATGAAGAAGACATTGTGCGAGAGCAAATACAGAAATTAGCATGAGGTATTATGCTCTGATACCAAGTTAGAAAAGTATTTAGATACATGGTTTTGGCTAACTTACCAAAACATTGTATATTGATTTGAAATTATAAGATTACATTGTAGCAAAATAACCAAAACAACAGGAGAAAATAGGAGCTTAACTTAGCTAACAGTTGTACATGCTAAACATCAACTAAACCGATTCATAATTCAAATAATTCAAGTGGTTAATGTAGCAGCAAAATCTGGAGAAAAATCTGCACTATATGAAGGTCCACGATCTTCTGTCACAGACATCTTGTGACCGGCTGCTATCGCCCTGTACTTGACGAAAAAAAACCCCACAGCATGGCCGGTCACCGCGGCAATGAAGATTCCGACATTGAAGGACATGACAGACAGCATGACCAAGTAAGCAAGAGCCATGCGAATAGCATATACAGCAGCCTGAATCAAGCCACCACTCAAAGGCTTCATCCTCGGTTTTATAGGTGGCGCCGCCAAGATTTCAACAGCCACCGCCAGCAAGAACACAGAGACCAGAGCCAGTATGTACATGCCAAGGCGGCCGTTTGGCCACCCGTCAAACAGAACCACCACATCTTTGCCCCAGAAAAAGGTCATGTGCATAGCCATATCATCCATGTTCATATTATTATCTTTCATGGAATCAGGTGACATGGGCATTGGCATGATCATGGACAATTTTGGGGAAGAGAAGAGAGGAGAGAATTTTGTGTGGGAAATGGGAATTACACAAAATCAAAGATAAGTTAAGAATCCATCTGATATTATGTGGGGATATCGATTATTCATATGCTTGTAGGAGAGAATACCAAAGATGTAAAATAAATAAATGAGGCCATTTTCTAATTTTGGTTCTCCTTATGAATTTCCTCCTACTTACATGCAGAGTACTACACTCAAATAGATATAGAAAATATTAGAGACAACTGTCAGCGTTTTGTATTATTATTTTGACACATTTTCACCCGCAGTCCCTGAACTATACACTTACTGCAAATGGATGCACTGTATCATATATCATCCGAAAACTGTACTCAATTGAGACACGGAAAAGACAGATCAAACTAATATACAAAACCAATTGTAAAAATAAGCCTATTATATATCTCATAGCATGAAAGTTTGATGAAATGACGAGCACCAATGACACCAATAGAAAGCATCAATTGAAAATTTGAACATTTGCATCGTGAAATCTAACAGAAAGCAGTACAGCAAATGTAAGCATTCATACCGAAATCTAAAATTCTGAATAATAATTCAAGCACATTGATTTTGGGAGAGATGGTCAGCATCAAACAAGAATTTTTGTCATATTTCACACCTCCTGACTCAAGTGCAACAAAATTGATAGTTTGGTGATGCCGATGCCAAAAATAATAAAGATCTTGCTATGGAAAACATCACCAGCGTCCTCTGCACGCACCGTTTAGACCATTATGCATCAAGACAGAAGACGCATATTTGATACCCGTTACAATAAATAATAAATAATATTTTTGTTATTTTTTTTTTATTAATATGATTCGATTCATTGATATCCAAGCCTGCTTGAGAGTTCTTTTTCATCAATTTTGACAGATTTTGGAGGATACTGTTTATGATGGGTTGAAAAAATCAGTATTTACTAATTTTTTTTTAACATCGTTTTTGGATGATTTAAAAACTATCAAATAATTGAGTAATGTAATTTTTACAGATTCTCTCAACACACCAATTTCTCATATTATCTTCTAATTTTACTCTTCATAGTATAATTATTTACAACTAATATATTTTGTTTAAGCTAATTTTTAAATAAAATATAATAACTAAAAAATTTATTTATAAGCAAAAATTACTTATAAGCAAAATATTATTAATAAGATAAAAAAATCAATTTGTGTAAAAATTTATTTATAAAGTAAAAATACTACTAATTAGCCAAAGACTGACTTATAAAATATAAAAAGTTAGTATAAGGAAAAAAATTCACTTATGTGTAAATAGGGGTATCAATGAGCCGAGCCGCGAGTTGAAACTTTTTGCTCAGGCTTGACTCGAGTAAAAATAGTTCGAGTTTTTTTTGTCTGAGTAGAACTGAGCAAAGATCGACCAAAAAATTTAGGCTCGGGCCCGGCGACTCGACCAAAAAATTTAAACTCAACCTGAGCTTTCGGCTCAGGCCTTAGTGAGCCGAGTCAGGCATTTTTTTTTTTAATTCGTGACAAAACTAAATTTAAAAAAAAAAATTTAAAATTTGTGCAATTTATACATATTATAAATAATAACTAAATATTAACATATAAAAAATTACAGCTGTAAGTTTTTTTTTAGCTTCACGGGCCAGCTCGAGCAGATGTCCCAAAATGGCTCTTGGTCCCACCGAACCACGAGTCGTCCCGGCTCGAGCTTTTTTCAGGTCTAGCCTGAGCCGACGAGCCATATTGACGTGACTATGTGTAAAATTATTTAAAAGCACAAAAGTAAAATATAATTGTAAAGTTTACTTATAAGTAATAAAAAAGTATTTAACTTAAAATTTTAAGTTAGTATTTAACTTTTTAATTAAATATTAACTTATATATAAAAAATTACCTATAAAGTAAAATATCACTTATTATGAGTAAAAAAAAAAATTATGCAAGAAATTATAAAATGAAAAACTTTTAAAATCGATAGATAATAAACTTCCAAGCATGGGTCGAACTGTTTTAAAAATAGCTATTAAAGCCACTCAAAATCAAAATCAATACTTAAGAAAACACTCATAACCGATATCAATAATAAGCTTCTAAGCATGAATTGAACTATTTTAAAAACAACTACTAAAATCACTCAAAATCGTATTTTAAGAAATGTATGTTGTCTGAGAACAAATTATGACATCAGCCTCAGTTGGAAATTGTCATGCCCGCACATACAGAAGATAAATGATGATGCATCAATTCTTAACAACACTGAGAATCATGAAATTCCCAATAAGCATACCTCCTTCATCGATTTTTTGGTACCATCGCGGCGGATCTTGTGCATTACAAATGCGGTTGTCATTGTCACACATCTAATATGTCGATGTTCTCTTGCTTCCCTTTTCTTTCGTAGTCTATAGTGAATAATTCGTTCAATTTTTTGGACCTAAATCAACTAGATCTGGACTTTTCGAATTAGGCATGCGTGAATTCAAACCTGAAACAATTAAAAGAGAGAGAGAGAGAAATCGTCAAAAAAGAAAAAAGAAAAAAATTGTTAAAGCTAACTAACGAGTAATAATAAAAAAAGAATCGATCTCGGGCAAATGCGTTAAAACTTGTTGTCAATTTCTCTGACAAAAGAATATGTTGTTAACAAGTAATATAATGATGAGTGAATATCGTTATACAAAGATCAATTATTGAATTTACTTTAATCAAAATTTACTCTAACAAGAATACACAATTAATTGATGGTTTTAAAGATTGATTTTCTAATAACTAAATTAAAGTTGAGCAACAGTAAATTTCAATCACATAAAATACTAGAACTCCGAATTCACCTTTGTGATATGTGATTCAATTATCAATTCTTGGCTACGTTACAAATCAATGATCCAAAAATGTTTAATGGTACCTTTACTCCCCAACTCCAAGTTTTTGTACATTTTTGGTCCTTCCGTCTTTAAATAAACCAGATTCCGGTCCTACTATTTCCAATACCTTCCAGATTGATCCTTCAGCTTCCAAACTCATTCACCTTGGATCTTAAACTTTTTTCCTTCAAATTTGTACTTCAAAGTTTCGAGAATTTTCACATTGGTCCCAAACTCTTAAATGTACTTTCAAAGCTTCTAATAAAACCCAAACTTCCTGGTAGGTCTTCAATTTCATCCTTAAAGCTCCAATTATGCCCCAATTCTTTTCGTTTATGCTCAATTGATATTCAAGTTGGGATCATAATATACACTAAATCAAGTAGAAATTCACTCAATTTATCTATAATGCAAGTTTTCTAAGTCTAGATTCAGAAACCTGTTGGAATTGGTTAAGTATTAAACCATGAAAAAGAAATTTTCGTGTCAATTTCGACCAAATATTGGGATTATGTCGGATAGTCAAACTATGAAAATAAATAGACTAACACGTTCTACTCGTCGAGTAGATCGTCGTGGTATATTTGAATTTTTCAAATCAATTTCGGGGTGAATGAGAAATTACGGTCTAAAATTAGAAGAAAAGATAAGAAACTGACTGAAAAATTGTCCAACTCCGTCGCTCGCCGAGCACTCGAGCGAGGAGGTTGTCACTCGAGGGAAAAGTGGGCGACAAAATCCCTGTTTCTGACGTTCGAGCAACGCGAGGATGACAGACTAATGAGAGCAAAAGTTACGACCCTTAACAAATGTTGCTGATTTTGGGACGCGGCACTTCACTCACAACATTTCTTTCTCTATAAATTAAATCATTGGGACATCCATTTATTCATCCTAATGATTTGCAATCATAGCATAAGATTAAATTCACATTTTCTTAGCCTAAATTATGCATAAAAGCTGGTTTTTCCATTTTTCATTTGAAGGAGTACAAAATCAATTTTCGATTCATTGTTATTGTGTTTTGAAGTGCGACTAACACAAAAAAAATTATCGTTGCATTTGGGAGTTGATTGTTAGCATCCGTATTGTAGGCATCGTTGCAAGACAAATTTGACTTAAAGACAAAAAGTTCAACTCTTACCTCGACTTTGCATACATTTTGATTTTGTTGTTACTTTGACATTCTTTTCATTAGTGTTTACATTCATAATCTTACCGTTACTCTATCAAATTTTCGGTAAGATTGGTAAATTTATTTTTGGTTTATAGTCATCACTCAAATCATCATCATCTGGTCAACAAAAACTTCACTCATAATTTGAGGGATCAAAGACATCTTAATTTCTCTTTGGTATAAACTATGAACTCGATTGATAGATCTGTGTAATGGTTTTGAACTATGATCATATTTTTATAGTTTAAATATAGCGGGTACCATGGGAATGGGCAATGAAGTTTCGGGAGGCTTCTACATATTGAATTTAAGAACACTAGAGTGTTGTCCAAATATTAGAATTCAGGCTGAGACGTCGCAACAATAATTATTAGCATTTTCTAGATAATGCTTTCAATGTTACTGGTGTATATACAATTTAAAAAGGAAAAAGAAAAAGTGAAGCGGGAGCAAACGACAAGTTTCTATACCTGTGTATTTGGATAAACTTTTTATGTTCTTGTATATTGTAGAAGAACCCTGAAGCTTCATGTCTCTTTCTCACCCACTATAAATATGATCAAAATTCATAACACAATTACATAAATAATCCTACGATCAAGTTAATCAGGAAAAAAAACAGGAAAAATGTCTTTGATTACTCAAATTCTGAGCGAAGATTTCCCACAATTTCAATCAACCAACGAAATTTCCGCCACCGATATTCTGAGCGAAGTTTTCCCTCAATTTCAATCAACCAACGAAATTTCCGCCACCGCCTACGCGCGGATAGATAGGAAGGAGACGCCGGAGGCCCATGTTTTCAAAGCCGATCTTCCGGGACTGAAGAAAGAAGAGGTGAAAGTAGAGGTGGAGGACGGTAGGGTTCTGCAGATCAGCGGTGAGAGGGCGGCGGAAAAGGAAGACAAGAATGATAAATGGCATCGGATTGAGAGGGGAAGAGGCAAATTTCTTAGGAGGTTCTATTTACCGGAAAATGCTAAAACTGATGAAGTGAAGGCAGTTATGGAGAATGGTGTTCTTACTGTAACTGTTCCTAAGCAGGAGGTGAAGAAACCTGAGGCCAAGACTATAGAAATCACTGGCTGAATTATTTTCAACTGTTTGGAAGTTTGGATTGTTGTTATGCTTTTGTTTGTTTGTTTAATGATGTTTGCTTTTATATGTGGAACTTTGTGTCATTTTTATGAATATCTGTACTTCCTATAATGTGTAATATGTTTTCTGGGTTGTAATGAATAAAAGTTGCATGGCCTCTTAAAACAGCGTTAACATTTTTTGAAGAATCTATTTTTTTGGGACGGGATAATATTGATGTACAGCGTAGAGCGTGATTAAGTGCCAATGTCAAATTCTCAAATTGGATTTAGTTTCATATTTGGGTCCATATATGAAAACTGTCTAGACTCGTATTAGACGGTCAATAAAAGAACTGTGACACAGAATTTGCCAGAAATTAGATAGCAAAGAGGCAAACAAAGGACACACATGGAGGCGAAACTGCGCAGCTTTTCGATTGATTGGCCAAGCATAAGATGCACGCTGCAACGTAGTGTCCGCAATTGCCTACGTCCAGTCGGTTGGCACATAATTGACTCGAAATGAGATAGTCGAAAGGCAAAATGAAGTTGGTCAAAGAACACGCTTTCGTCTTTTCACATGCCCGAGTCCTAGCGGGGACCTCGATTACTCTATGAGTCTAGGCGTGCATTTTAAAATTGTGGTTACAACACACATGAACATCCCAAATGAGAGCATTTACGATTTTGAAAATAATAATGCACTCATTTTTCTCCATTTTGTTTCTCAGCTCAATTATTCTTCAAATCTTCTGCGGCTTTCATCTACTATCCACAAAGAGTTACACTAAGTTTATGCTATGTTCGCATCCAACCTAATTTGTAGAAATTCATTACTAAGTAATTATGATATTTATTATTTTGATTTTTTTTTTTTTNTTTTTTTTTTTTTTGTTGTCTACAATAATTAAAAAAATATATTAAAATAGGACAATACTTAATTGTTCTTAAATTTGTAAGGCTTGAAACTTGACGTCTTCGCCACCTTTTAGAAACTTTATTGGAGGTGATGGTTTCTAATTTGGATTTGGCGACGACAGTGCCCATGGTGTTGGGAGTTAGGTGTAGGATTGGTGCTATTGGATTGGATTGGATTGGGTTATGAGGAAGATGATTTATTTATTTGTTTGAGAATTCTCTTATCTATTTTTGTTCTCTCTTTTTTATTATTTTAATTTTTCAAGTGGAAAGTTATGTAATGTCTAACATGGTAAAATTTCAATCGCAAGTTGACTTAACGGACATTTGGACGAAATCAGTCTAAAAGTCCTGCTTATTTATTCAAAGGTTAGGGACTACAGAGTCAAAAATGAAAAGTTCAAGAACCATTGCACTTTTTGAAAAGGATAGGGGCCACGAGTGCAGTTTTTCCTTAATGTTATATGTACCAGGTCTTGGTCTAGGAGCACGAGGTTTTGATCCCTATCTTGCTAGTACAAGAAAAGAAATTTCCTAGCCCCAAATCACCGCATGTTGTTGTCTCATGGCTACTTTGGTTGGTCGAAGTTCCGATCTTGTTCTCCGCTGGTAGAATTCTTTAACATCATGATTGATCATATTTATATTTGATTCAAGAATTTAGAAATCGTCAAATATGTAATGTTATTGCAGATTCTCTACATTTGTTTGATACATCCAATTAAATCGTATAAGAAATTAGAAAATAAAGTAAATACACTTAACCAAAGTTATTAAGAAATTAGAAAAGAAGTAAATACAATAAGTGGATAGTATTAAGATCCTATTTGTTTCAGCTGAAAAATATGATTCAACTCTTAACCAAAGTAAATAATTAATTTTAATCACACATTACACAAAATTCACAACTTTTTAATCTCACATTCCTTCAACTTTTATCAAAATGTACAAAAAATTATGATTTTTGTGGCTAAGGTGAACTATGATCGTAATATTTTTTTTAGATTTTTACTCAAAAGAATATTATCTTTCTGAAGCTAACTAGATAACCAAAATCAGATTAGTAGGTTGGTCTAAATCAGACAAGAAAGATTGTAAATGACATCTTTTAAATGGAGAACTTATAAACTATCCATCTTAATACTATCTCCTGTAGTAGGTTGGTCTAATTTGGTGTACCAAACGTAACTTAAGGTATCATACTAAGGGCGTGTTCGGTAGAGAATAAAATCAGATTAAAATTGAAAAACTAATCGTTATTGTTAACTTTTGTTAGACGAGTGAAACCCAATAACGACTATATTTTCAATTTTAATTGGATTTTAAGCACGATCGAACACACCCTAAATGAATTTTTTTTTTTCAAATTTGTAAATCCTCCCAACGGGGGTATTCAAAATTGTAAACCCACACCTAGCACCCTAGACCATTGGCCATTGAATAAATCCTTATGTACAGAGGATTTATTTACAGGGGCAGGCCCACATGTATTAAAAAATTAAAATTGTGAGACTGCATCATATGTATTGTCTGTACAACATTTTGTGTACATCGAGGAGGGTTCTTTGCCCTTTTGGCACCTCCCTACGCGATGACGTTACAACCTATTTCACTCCACCTTCACTCATAACCGTTCGAATCTTTAGTAGAAAGCAAGACACCTCATTTTCTCTCTCTTTAAGAACACTTTCACTCCCTCGTAACACGCGAGTCTCTCTCTCTCTCTCTCTCTCTCTCTCTCTCTCTGTGTATACGTTATAGGTATTTTATCCATCTGCTGTACCTGTAGCTCATACGCCTGCTTTTTCTTTCTTCTCAGGCATCGAACAATACGCTTCCCGCAATTCTAAGAAGATTTCTTGCTTTTTATCTGACTCTGCAATTCCTTTCTTCGCGTTTAGACTTTAGTGTAAGTACATTTATTTTTATTGTTCCGGTTTAATTTTCTTTTCGGTTTCTTTTAATTGAAGAATTACTGGGTTTACTGGTTGTCTCGTGTCTTCTATGGATTTGCATTTTCTTGAACCTATTTCACATTGACATGTGCTTTCGAATTTATCTTTAGAGTTTAGATTCATTTATTTATTGTTATGGTGTAATTTTATATTCTCTTTTAATTAGAAAAATAACTGGGTTTACTGGATTTCTGCCATGGATTTTCATTCCTTGAACTATCTTATGGGGTGTGATGGAAATTGGTTACCGATTTAATATATGTACCGGTGATGCTTTTAGTTGAAGTTCTTTCTTTTCTTGAGCTATCTTGAGTGTTTGTTCTTGATTTATTGTGTTATTTGATGTACATTTCGGTGCATTTTAGTAATAATTTAGCTTATCTGCTTTGGATCTCTTGGTTTGGGTGTGAATCCTGACCACTTCTTGAAGAAATGTTTAGAATTCAAGATTTGGTTTCATCTGATTCTTGGGCTGTTCAATGGAAATCCCTCTTTCAATTGTAATCTAGATTCGATCTGTTGCTAGAAGCTTTGCTAATATGTTTATTCTTTCGGGGTTTTGCCCTTGGATTCTTACGCAATTCGCGTATTTTTAAAAACATAAAGAATTTTGGCCTGAAATGTTTCCTTGGGCCTTAATATTTTGCATTTAAATGTGTTAACTTGCACGTAAATGATCAAAATCTAGTCAACTGGTCCTAATTGTGATGCAAAGGTATGTTTTTCTTTAGTATTTTGAGTGGACTATGTTCGATAGATGTGATATAAGCTAATTAGGTTTGCAAACGATTTAAAAGTTTTTCATTTACTTCTGGGATCTTTATATTGGGAGAAGTTTTGTGTTGTAAGTTAGGTTTTAGCCTAGATGCTTTTCATTGAGTACAAGAAAAAGGATATCCTTGTTTCTTCCTTTTAAGAATGCAAGTAAAATGGAAATTCCTTGCAACACTTGTGTATCAAAGGCAGCATTTCTGATTTAGTTTTGAGTATTATTCCAGGCCATCTCTAATTGTAATCCCAGCTGTTTAAATTTTTATAACTTTTAAAATGCTCTCATTGTACTAATATTCAGTCCTTTGTTATGGATAAATAGAGGGAGAATCATAGCATTCTAAATTATTGTATCGAAACCGTAATAAGTAGATTTCCTATTTTCCTGGGGGGTTTGTTCTTACAGGATGTTGTAAAGACATTGCATTCTTGTCTAGTTAATAGTTTTCAAATCCCTTTTTTGTACAGTGGAAAAGTTTTGAATTTTTAATTACTGATTACCTTGTTAAATTGGTCTGCAGGAAGAAAATCAGACATCAAGAAAATGAGTGGAGATGTAATGCCATGTTATCTATCATAAATTTAGGTCCTGAATGTGTAGAAAACAGCTAGGTACATGGGCCACAGTTTAGAGCAGAGGAGTTCAATGCAACTACAAATCTCAGATGTTGTCAGGGCGGAGACTCTAATGCCATTGGCAGATAAGAGTTTACAGTTTCAAGACAAACATAAGGTTAAACACCCATTTGGCAAGCCATACATTGATCAACAATGTGAACTGAGACGGGGTACAAATATTGAGCATGAGATCCAATTTAAATCTTCAGAGAATAAGACATGTAAAGATGATGAGCTTGTCAAGCATATGTCAAATTTACCGGGATTTCTGCAGCAAGTTGAGAAGCAAAAAAGTATTCAAGAGAAGGCTTTGAACTTTGGAGTTCTTGATTGGAAGCGTCTGGAGAAATGGAAGTACAATGACCGTATGCCTACAAAAGGACAAACAAAAAAGTCACCATCGTTCAGTAGTTCGGCGTTAATGGCAAGTGGAACTCATTCAAATCAGGGAAAACTACCATTATCTCATGGTTTGAATCCCAGTTCACTATATAAAGGAGAACATTTTTTGTCACATAGTTCGCATTTTAATCCATCTCCTCACATTTCACATGATAACTTGTCCCAAAAAGGAGAAAAGAATAAAGGTACAAGACTGTACAGAGGAAAGGGCACGTGTATTGAAGAAGTTCAAGCTGCCCAAAGTAGCAGGACCATTGATGGGCTGCAAGACAATTTCTCTGAGAAAATTGAGTCCATTGGTGGGAGGAGATGTATGGGCAATGGCAAGAAGAAAGATTCAGATGAAGAGACACTATTCGAAAAGGGAACTTTGCCCTTAGACCAGGGTAAACATAAGTTCTCACAGTCTTTGTGTGATACAATCACTTCTGATGGGGGAAAGGGTAAGACAAGAGTAGAAAATGAGGTCAACCTTGCTGACCAATATCACCCTTTAGACACACTAAACAACGTACACCTAGGACCAAAACATTTCCCAAAGGGGAGTTACTTGGAGAGTTCTCAGTTTATTAAATCCAGGGCATCATTTGATGGACAGTTTGCGGAAGCAAATTGGAACAGATTTTCTGATAGCTTTTCTCCTCAAGGACCCTACTCTGGAGAATTCTCAGCTGATATTCCACATTCATGTCCCCTGCCTACTGGTGTCAAAGATCAAGACAAATCTAGTATGGAACCACATAACCTGGTCACTTCTCAGCCTATGAACTTGGATACCTGTACAATTGTGTGTCCTGGTAAGATAGCTGTCACAGCCATACCATCTGAAGCAAAACTTTCAACAGTGAAAGAAAAAACAATTAGACCTTCATTTTCAGACCCAGTCAAGAATTCCAGGAGAACTGACTGGGACATAGCTGAATGGCCAGCTGTGAAAGGAAGACATCCCTCTCCTAATCGCCGGTTCAGCTTCAGCCTTGGGAGGAGGATGAGTAGGAGCTTTAGTTTCAGGGAGAACTCTGAGGTTCCTCAATTGAGTTCTACATATACTGCTGCCGAGTCATGCTCGGGGAGGCATGAGGTTTTATCTGGCAGTTCGGATAAACGTGATAGAGACAAGTCAAATGCTAGTGGCAGAGGGAGGTCCAGCCCTTTACGGAGATTACTAGACCCATGGCTAAAGAACAAAGGAGCTCACTCTTCTGAGACCGTCCGTCCACCAGATGTAAGCTCACACTCTATGATGCGCGCGACTGTCTGTGGACCTGTTCGAGATGGGAAAGCTGAGGCATCAACTTTGCAGGCCTTTTTGCAGCTTACGTTGAAGAACGGACTCCCGTTTTTCAAACTTGTGGTTAATAACAGCAGCGATATGCTAGCTGCAGTTATAGAGAGTTTGCCATCATCTCGAAAGAGTGATTACAGCATAACTTGTGCATTCTACTCAGTCCAGGAGATTATAAAAAAGAGAGTGAACTGGATAAATCAGCGGTCGAAAAGTAAAAGTTGCGGTCTTGGCTATAATATGATAGGTCAGATGAAGATTTCAAGCTCTTGTCTTCAGGAAATAAATATGAAGGACTCTATTAGATATGTCGTAAGAGAATGTGTGTTGTATAGTGTTGATCCGGGGCAGGTGGATTATCAAACACAGGAATATTTGCTGAATAGGGAGATTGCAGCCATTGTTGTTAAGAACTCAATTGAGAAGCTTAATGATGTAAATTTAAGTAACAATAGCAGACAGTGTATGAAGAATGAATTTACACACTGTGCGTCAGGGGTTAATTATAACCCCGAAGAAGATGGAAACTCTAATAGCACAGTAGTCATTCTTCCTAGTGGTTGTCATGGCATACCAATCAAAGGTGAACCTTCATCGTTAATAAACCGATGGGAATCTGGTGGATCGTGCGATTGTGGAGGGTGGGATGTCGGTTGCAAGCTTCGAATTCTTGCTAACCGTAAGAAAAACAGCAAAATTCTTGAAGCATCCATGTCCAGCTCTGCAATTGATCATGTGAAACTTTATCTCCAGGTACTGTTTTAACTTCAGCATGTACTAGTTTACCTCTTCTTTACTGAAACTTCGAACATTGGATTTATTTGATCGACTCTTCTTAACAGAGTGGAGTACGAGAGAGCAAGTCTGTATTCAGCTTGAAACCGTTGGAAAATGGACTTTACTCTGTCAAATATGATGCGTCAATTTCTTTGTTGGAGACATTTTCTACATGCGTAGCAGTCATAACGTGTCAGAAATTTTCTGGTATCTTAGACATGAATATTCAACCGCAAGTAGAGCATTCACCGGAGGCAATGGTCCCAACCCAAGTCCAAGAGCAAACTCCAGCGAAGTATGTGACATGCCCACCCCCGTCGCCGGTTGGAAGAATCTAGTGGTTGGAGTCAAAGGATCGGCATTTGGATAATTGGGTTTTGAGTAAATAAGGCAACAGGTCAACCTCTCGAACAGTGTCAATGTTGTTTTCCAATTGTAATTAGTTGATTTGCAGGAAAATCCAAAAACCATGCATGACTTACACAACCTCTGTTAAGTATGCATCAATTGTTATTGAGCTGTAGAGTTGCGCTTTATGTTCGAAATAATATCATGCGAGCCTCTATACGAAAAGATAATATATAGAGGAATGCTTTATGGAAGAGCTGCATATCCAGGTGTGCCGGCTAAAATTCCTGCAGTGAACCTGTTTTCTTAATTCTTAGCAAGTACCATCTTGTAAAATGAAATAATAAACATACTGGCAATTGATGGTTCTTTTCGAAAATTCTTATGTTCTATGAAGAAAGGAGAAATTTTGTATTGAGCACAAATGAACGTAAGATGATGGAGTTGCAGTTCTGATCCCCAGTATTCTACTTTTAACCATTATCATTTTTAGTAGCATCTAGTGGACTTGGGATTGAATTATGTCTCTACATCACTGATGGCAATGGCATGAAGAGTAGAGAGTTGCAGTTCTGATCCACTGTATCCTACTTTTAACCATTATCATTTTTTGTAGCATCTAGTGGACTTGGGATTGAATTATGTCTCTAGCTCACTGATGGCAATGGCATGCATAGTGGGAGGATTAGATGGTAGTCGATAATATTAGGCAATGTTTGATTGGCCACATTTTCCTAGGAAAATGGACATTAAATTCCAACTTTAACACATTTTGGTGTTTGATTGCCAAAAATTTACCCCCCCAATTATTTTCCCACTTCCCACCCCACGCGCCTGAATTCCCCAAAATGGTTGAAAACATTTTCCCACCATTTCGGTGAAAAAAATTATCACTTTAATGGACAATTTCTATGTAAAACAAAGTCAAACGAATACAAAATTTAAAAATTTTCCGGGTGGAAAATTATACCAATCAAACACATTTAACTAACAATTCTCTGGAAAACAATTTCTAGACAATTACTTTCCCTAAAATTTATTTTCTTTCCATCAATTTTCCACCCTTACAATCAAACGGACCCTTAAAGAAGAAAACGCTTCATAGCATCTAGTACTAGAAGTTTTTTTTTTCCCTACTTCTAACTAGAATTCTGTAGTAGTGTGCCGCATGGGCACGAGGGATGGAGAAAACGACCCGGAAAAGGCGGTCAACTTTAAATTGAAGTGCGTGCCTTTTTGTTTAGCAAGTATTATTTTCTTGTTTTGAAGTCCAATCTAACAAAATTTACAATCATTGTTAAATTTAAAAAGGAAATAAGTCCAACAAAATTTCCATCTTAGCCCAAATGTACCAACAAAAATTTGCATAGTATACATTAATTATTATTTTTAGTTGTCTATAATAATTAAAATAATATTAAAAATAAGAGTTGCAGTTCTGATCCACTGTATTCTACTTTTAACCATTATCATTTTTTGTAGCATCTAGTGGACTTGGGATTGAATTATGTCTCTAGCTCACTGATGGCAATGGCATGCATAGTAGGAGGATTAGATGGTAGTCGATAATATTAGACAATGTTTGATTGGCCACTTTTTCCTAGGAAAATGGACATTAAATTCCAACTTTCACACATTTTGGTGCTTGATTGCCAAAAATTTACCCCCAAATTATTTTCCCACTTTCCACCCCACGCGCCTGAATTCCCCAAAATGGTTGAAAACATTTTCCCACCATTTTGGTGGAAAAAATTATCACTTTAATGGACAATTTCTATGTAAAACAAAGTCAAACGAACACAAAATTTAAAAAATTTTCGGGTGGAAAATTATACCAATCAAACACACTTAACTAACAATTCTCTGGAAAACAATTTTTAGACAATTGCTTTCCTTGGAATTCATTTTCTTTCCATCAATTTTCCACCCTTACAATCAAACAGACCCTTAAGGAAGAAAACGCTTCGTAGCATCTACTACTAGAAGTTTTTTTTTTGCCCTACTTCTAACTAGAATTCTGTACTAGTGTGCCGCATGGGCACGAGGGATGGAGAAAACGACCCGGAAAAAGGTGGTCAACTTTATATTTAAGTGCGTGCCTTTTTGTTTAGCAAGTATTATTTTCTTGTTTTGAAGTCCAATCGAACAAAATTTACAATCATTGTTAAAATTTAAAAAGAAAATAAGTCCAACAAAAATTCCATCTTAGCCCAAATCAAGTCCCCCCGTACCAACAAAAATTTGCATAGTATAATTTTTCATTCCCATCTCTCCTGGATGATGGTGGGTTGTTTATACTGGTAAAGAATGGAGAAAAACTCTTGCATTGTGACTTCACAGCCAAACATAACATAAAATCGCACTTGAATATTTGACCCTAGCTTTGAATATATTAATATGGTGGGTCTGATTAGGAAACCTATGTAAGCANCATAATTATTTTGGTCAATCCCAACGGGGGGTGACATTATGCCTCTTATTATCATTTTGCCTCAAATAATTTGAGCCAGGGACTACTCAATGATTAAACGCTTTTAGACAGTAATTATCACTGCCATGACCATGGGTTTCGTCAATAAGATTTGTTCAATTTATCATGTTTTTTTATGGGTAAGAAGTTTGAATGGGTTGGACACAGCTGGTTTTGTTACCCATGTGACCTCCTTTTTGTGTGTATTTTTGTTGATACTTTAGGATAGCAGCTCGGTCCCAAGTTTGATCGTCTTATATTGCAAGGATAAGATCTATAATCCCCACTCGTGTGACTCTATGAGTGATTCGGCGCACTTTAAGCGCAAAATTTCGTGGTGGCACAAAAATTCACATTTGTTCATGCACCAGAGAGAGAGAGAGAGGGGAATGCATCAATGTTTTGAAAACTGAGATGACTGATGTGTTTGATAAGTAGAAATAGACTTGAAATTCAATTGGTTATAACTAACAATGGTATCTTAAAAACTTGAGATGGAACTCGGTAAGTGCAAAGTTAAGTTCGAACTGATTGAACCGATCACAGCTTGACTGGTTGTATTATTTGAAAAAAGAAAAAAGATTATTATCGAAATTGAATCTTGAAACATGTCATGCTATGCAATTATTGTTGTGGTTTTATTTTTGATACATCTTGTTTGCATTGAGTATAACTTGACTCGATTGACATTTTACTTTTTTCTAATATCAATTTTGAAAAATGGGTATGCATTATGTAATTATGGAATGCTTGTTAACTAGGACCTTTTCCTTATGCATGTTCACGTTATCCTCTTTGTAAAGGGACACTACCCTATGATGGTAAAAACTAAAAATAATTAGGGCATCTTGCCGGCGTACAATGACTTGGCCTACTTGCCTTTGTGAAGTGTTAATCATTATATGTTGAGGCTTTTGCTCCAATTTTTGCGAATAAGTATCCATTGGGACCTTTTGTGATTAAAAATCCATTCTCATTATCACTTTACAATTCATTCTCTTTGCTCAAGATTATTTTTTGTAAAGAATATGATTAATATTCAATGGTGCAAGTGTTACTTACGTGTTCTCGATCCACTAACTGTTATGAGAATTATTGAATTAGAAGTTGTATCTTAATCTTTCAAAACTCTAATCGATAATTTGAATATATCAAAAGTTTACGGGCAAATAATTTTTTGAAAGTGGTAAGAGATTGTCCTCGGCTTGAGGGAGTGTCAAATGAGACGAAAAGGAACAAAACACACTCCTAGACCTACAGCATGTCGTTCCAGCTCGAGCAAATCCCTGAGAACCCAATATCTCGACAAGTCCGGATTATATGCTTCAATGATAAATACGATAGAGTGGCTCTAAATATATAGAGAATGAAGTTTAATTTGTTATTTAGACAAGTCACGAACTCTGAAAAACTACCTAAATTTGTTTGAATTCTAATATTGATACGTTCATTGCTTCTTACATTAGTTTTGACTTAAAAAAAATGTTCATTCAATTATACGGATTCCAATCTTTGACGACGTCTAACTAGCAACTGTGACTTTTAAGGGAAAAAAAAAATGAAGAAGAAGACGACAAAAAACAAGAAGAGAAATTTGTTGTTATTCATCTTCATTTTTGGCATTATACGAAGACTTGCCAAAATATTGTCATTAATCGGATATTGAGTGGAAAAATGAAGTGTTCACTGTTAAATTATAAATAAAAAATTATTACAGTTTACACGTGAGAGAGAATTTGAAGATATAAATATATAAAAAAATATGTTTATGCGCGTGAATCCATAGTAATTAGATATGGAACAATCTTAATGGATATGCAACAAAGAATTGGTCTTCCTGACTTTAAATTAAGGAAACATGCTGATTTAATATTTTGAAAAGGTCATGAAATTAACTTTGTTTATTAATTTAGAGGATTTGTTGAAGTTGATTCATCGTTTCTTATCCTTATTTGCCGGCTATACATATTAAATTATTATTATTCACCTATTTAATTTGTTATTATTACACTCTGTCTTGAATCGCGATTTTAATTTATTTTTTAAAAGTTAATATGTGAAAGTCACATAAATAACAACTGAAAAAACTTCTTTTAGTTTTAAAATCATGATGCAATCGCTGTTAAGAATTGGGGTTCCATCTTCAAAAGTCAACCTTATTAACAGGAGTAGCCCCAAGAGCATTATTAATTGGTCTGTGTTAACATCATTTATCGATGTGAGATATATATCCCTTAACACGCCCCTACAAGATGGTGGCTCATTTGAGCATACCAATCTTGAAATCCACGTGCTCATTTTAGAGTCTTAACGAGATCAAATCGCTCGTTGGAACATAATCATTTATCGATATGAGATATATATCCCTTAATAATCTCATACTGAGGGAATCGATGGATTTATAAAGCCAGAAAAAAAATATTGTTTTAACAGTAACCTCAGTACATACAATTTTATGCATTGTTATTAAATCACGATAACCTGGTGAATCGAATCTTGTCCCAAACTTATCGGTATAATTGGATCAATGCACAATTGAACTGTCATTGACACAATTGGATCGGACAGATTTTGCTCAAACCTGATGAACCAGTTGGTTTAAACAGGCCATTTTTTATTTTTCTTTTTTGCAATTTTTCAACAGATTTTTCGAAAATTACTAAATGAAAAATGCACAATTTGGAACAGAGAATCTCAATTTGTAAAAGTCGTGCCTTTTCACTTGGATATCCATTATTCGATATAATTGTTGTCTCCAAAAATACATATATATCGCGTACTTTTGCTATTATGACATAGCCATGAGACACTCAACGGGGCCTCTTTTTATCTTATAAAACCTTTTTACAGTTTTGGATTGATGCAAAAACTACTTTTTTTTGTACAACTAAGTGTAGATTCATATCGGATAAATGCGTATTGAATTGCTTAAGAACGCGTATAAGTAAAATCTAAGAGGCTTTGTATTGTTCTTGTTGGTTCCGGAACGAGCAATAAAGGTAGAGTCCCGCGGAATAATTGTTCATGCCGCTTCGTTACTTTTACATTATATTTTTCAGAAATACTTTTAAGTCTTGTCCCTGTTTGGTGGGGATTAAAGTCGAATTTTTAATAAATTTTGATAAAAATTGATAAAATGTGTAATTAAAAATTTGTCGGATTCATAAAATATGAGCTTAAAATTGATTGTTTACTTTTATTTAGATTAAAATCTAAATTTTAATCTGTACCAAATATGGGCTAAATATTTATTTATTTTTAAAAAATATGACAAAATAAAATTTTAATGATAAATAGAAATAAAAGATCAAGTAATATGAAAAATGTATAGATCTTATATTTAACCTTTAAAAAGGAAAAAATATTAGAATTTATATACTTTAATTAATATATTATTTTTTAAATTTAGAATCTACTTCAACTTTTAAATTTATAATTAAATATACGCTTTAAAAAAAAATTCTTTTACTCACCAGTTGAATCGGTGACCAACTAACTCGGTGCTTTGGCTAGATCAATAATCGAGTCTTATCCGATAGCTATAATTTTATGAAATTAGATACTTTGTCCAGCTTGAGTACGTGACTAAAAGTTTGAACAGAGGCGCATAATAGTGTTACAACGACTTGGACGATTATGTCACTGCAATTATTATGAAAGATGTCGGAACCACCAGCTTAAATATTGAGACTAGATTAAGGACCAATTGATATTGGGTGGGGTGGGATGGGAGTGGGGTACCAAAGAAGAATGATGAGGAAGTGAAAAGGCACCATAAAGCCGAAAGCTTAAACCGGGAAAACTGGAATTATATATTAAAATATTAAAAAAAGATGTGATTTTTTTTTTT